CAATGAAGCATCTCTTCTATATAGAGTAGTTATCAAAATATGATGTATAACTATGGCTTCAATATGATAATGGAAAAAAAGCGCTATGTTTTCATCTTAAAAAAAACTTCAATTGAATGTGGATAAGTATTATACAACTAATCACTAAGAACTTTGAAAAAAATATTACAGAAAACTAAAAGTTTTAGATAGATTCTATTAAGTATCCACAAGACTTCACCAGACAAATCATTGTGAAAAATAAAGTAATTTGCAAATGAAGATCTTAATATTAGTTGATTTTGACTCAAACTACCACTAAGGCACCAGTATAGATGAAATCTGAAAAGGGAAGATTAAAGAAGAGAACAAGTAAAATACAAATGATATTAAAACAAGCAATAAATTATTTCTACGAGCAATCCTTAGTTGTAATGAAAATCTTCCAATTCTTGGAAGGCCTTCATTAAGACCAGCTTCACTGAAGAAGTCCTTCGCTTCAAGAAAGAAAGCCGCAAGCATCAGACAAGTGAGTAAACTTGAAATTTCATTTTGTCCTCAATTTCTTTATCCTTAAAACGATACAAAGGAATTATATATAGCCTAAGGACACAACCACCTACCATCACCATTCACAGTCAAGTAGATAAAGTCAAGGAAAAATAGTGAGGTAAAAAAAAAAAAAAAGGCAGAGGAAGAAAAATAGGAGCAACATCAACATCAAACTTTTATCCCACTATGTGGAGTTGGCTAAATGAATCCTTTTTCTCCATTGTGTTTTGTTAAGAGTCAAATTCTTATTTAAATTTAATTAAAAAAAAAAGTCATTTCTAATATTTTGTAGCCAAGTTTTTTAAGGTCTACTTCTATCTTTCTTAGCATAGGTCAAATCCAATACATCTACTCTCTTAATCGGGTCATTGGAAGGCAGACTTTTATTTGTTCAAAAAATCTAAGGCAACTCTCTCTAATCTTATTCGCCACTAGAGCTACTCCAAACATTTCACGTATATACTTGTTTCGCATTATGTCTCTAAGAATGAAGTCACTCATCTCTGCAACACTTAATTTTATTCTTCTCTTTTAATGGCCAACATTCTGCGCCATAAAACATTGCAGGTGTCACCACCATCTTATAGAATTTTCTCTTAAATTTGAGAGGTGTTTTTCTATCACACAATAGGCATGATGCATTCCTCCACTTCAACCATCCAACTTGAATTCTACTAATAATATCCCCATATATTTCACCATCACTCTGAACAATAGACCCAAGATATCTAAAACGTGCACTCTTATTAATGACTTGATTGCCCAAAATCACAATCCCCTTACTAGATCTATTATTGCTAAAATTACACTCATTGTATTAAGTTTTAGATCTACTCAAACGAAAACTTTTAGACTCTAAGGTTGACTTCCATAATTCAAGTTTTCCTTGAACTCCCTCTCTAGTCTTATCAACAAGAAGAATGTCATCAATAAAAAGCATAAACTAGGGTACATCCTCTTATAAATGTCTGGTAATAACATCTATGCATATAGCAAAAAAAATATGGGTTTAAAGCTGATCCTTGATGTAATCAAACTGAAATAGGAAAATAATTGGTCCAACCACCTTGTGTTTAAACACAAGTAACAGCTCCTGCATACATATCCTTAATGACTTGAATATAAGCATTATTAACTCCTTTCTAGAACTCTCCAAAGCACTTGATGCAAGACTAAAATGTTTTTTTTTTTAAATGGATGCGTCAAGAATTGCACGATTTCTTGAATAAGCAAGTAAGACTAAAACTGTTAGCAATCAAAACGACAATAGAAAACAAAAGAGGGGTGCCTACGTTTAGGCTAAGCCACATGCCAAGCACTTGGAGAATCAAAATAAGTTAGAAATTCAATAACATGTAAAGTAAATAGTTTTCAACAAAATTCCTAATCTAATTGTTAGATTAGGAGCATAGAAAGTGCACTCAATCCTATGTTTACTAAACTTTGGCAACAACGGAAGAAAATCCTACGTTTACTAAGCTTAGGCATAAGGCGAAACTCGGCTCCTTGTGGTTCGTCATCACCTACAAGATTAGGGGATTATAAAGGTAATTGAAGAGGGTGAGAAGTTCACCTTAGTCAAAGTCCGGAAGCAAGTAGACGAGATGTTGAAGAAGTTCGTCGTTGTTTTCTTGAAGGTTCAACTTAGAGAGAAAGAAGTTTCTCTAGTGTGAAGTGTTGAACACGCTAGTTGGTACTTCCCTTGAAGGTTTCTATGGAGAGAGAGGAACTCATCTTGCAAATTCCAAAGGGAAAGAGGGGGAGAGATGGCCGGCCATAGGTGGGGAACCACACGTTGGCATTAGGGTTAGGTTAGAGGAGAAGAATTAATCAAAATCTGAAGTTTCAATTTTAGATTTGCATGTGGAGGATTTAGGGGCTTGGAATTTGAAATTATTCCAAAGAGAGATGGGAGGAGGTTAATTGATTTCCAATTAGAGAAGTTCTCTAATGGAAATAAATTAAATGGTGGGGGCTAGGGAGGTTTCGGCCAAGTAGAGAGGTGGGGAAATTGGAATTGATTCCAAAAGGGGAATTTGAAATTTAGGAAAGAATTTCCTAATCCCACCCAATAGGGGCCGGCGGCAATCAATGAGATAGGGAGAGATTTTGGGGAGGGATTTGGGTTACTTAATTTGAGATTTAGGAATTAGGAAAGAAATAATTAAGTCCCATTTAATTTGAAATTCAAAAGGGGTTTAATTAAGTAACTTTCCTAAAATAGGTTTCCTAAATTAGGAAAGGATTCCAAATTCAAATAAGTTTGAATTTGAAATTAAATCTTCCCAAATTAAGAGAGGATGCTTATGGGAGTTAGTCAAGAGGAAATTTGAACTTGGAGGGAGGGGACGAGTTTAATGAGGTCTTTAATGCTTACTTAAATTATTGAATTAAGTTTGGAAAGAAATATCTCTTCCCATCTTAATTTATGATTTAAATATGAAAGGATTTAGTAGGTCTCCTAAAATAGGATTTCACAAATTAGGCAACTATTCCAAATTCAAATAAATTTGAATTCAATCATAAATAGAATTACCAAAATCATGAAATCTAATTTAGGAAAGGCAAGGTGGCACGTAGGAAGGGGAAAGAAGCCAAGGTGGCCGGCGGTGGATGGGTTTGGCCGTGGGGAGGGGATGGGGTGGGGGACCTAGGCGGCGGGTGGTGGTAGGGCTAGATGGCTGACGGCTTAGGGGTCCGGGAGAACCCTTGTCCGGCAGCTATGGGATAAAGAAAGGGTGACAACGAGATAAAGAAGAAGAACCACGAACCTGGCAGTCTCCAAGGTTGGTGGGTGATCCAAATTTTCCTCTCCTAGGGATTTCTCTCTCTCCAAGCACTCTCAAGATCTCTCAAGAACTCAAGCAATAGCATAAAATTTTTTATCATTTAATCATTAATTTCCAAAGGGAAACATAGGGGCTATAAATAGCCTCGTACATAAGACTCAAAATAATAAAGACGACAATGCACTTAGAGCTTACATAAGACTTCCCTTAAGCAAGGGGTAACACGGGAAAAATAAAATACAACATAAATAACAAATAACATAATAAAACAAATACATGAAATAACTCAAAATACATCGATGCGATCGTGACCGTAGATCGACGGCCACGCCTCTGATATACGATTCATGCTCTGATGTCCCCATCAGCACTTCTATTGGAACTTTATCATATGCTTTCTCTAAATCAATAAATATCATATTTAAATCCTTTTTATTTTCTCTATACTTCTCTATCAAACCTTTCAATAAATGTATAACTTCCATAGTAGACCTACCTGGCACAAATCCAAATTGATTTTTTAAGAAATATTAGTATCACGTTGTAATCTATGCTCCATAACTCTCCTATAGTTTTAATGTATGATTCCTCTATAATTCATACACTTATGCATCACCTTTATTCTTACAAATAGGAATCAACACACTCTTTCACTCCTTTGACACCTTGTTAGTCTTTAAAATTAAATAGAAAAGTTTTCTAAGCCAAGAAATTTCTTCATCTCCTAAGCATTTTTTACATCTCTATTTTAAAGGATTTATGTCATAATTATTTGACAAGTTTTATGCAGGCCGTCGACTACTAAATGCAACCGCCCACTTTTCTCATCCAAGACTCGGGACTTGACAACGCCAATATTTCATATACAACTATCACAAACCATCATTCTAAGCATGGCGGGTGAGTGAAACTTCTAAATAAAAAAACACACCACACAAAATGGCCCAACATCATTAAAAGCCTCAAGTAAATCATGCCTCACCGACAACACGAGGTTCAACTAAGGCTTTGTTTGAGACAACTTTTCATGAAAGCTTTTTTGTTGATTTCAAAAGTAGTGGCTAAGTTGCCTCTAATGTAATTTGGTGGTTCCTAATTGGAGTCACAGAAAAACTTTCTCTACAACAAAAGGAAGAAAGTTTCCATACGTCTTGGAGTCCACCCTTCCTAAGGCCCAACATTAGCACGCCTTCTTTAGTGGGAGCTCCATGCACTGCCATTTCTTTGTATTACTATACATATGGGAAAGCACAAAGGATAGGTCTGATTACAAGGTGAAAATGGACCATTCAGACTAATCCAAAGGGTTATGCCAATTTCATGGATATACTTTTTTTTTTTTTAATTTGGAGGAATGGGTTCACACATTACATACCTAATGAACCTAATTGCAGCAGAGAAAACCTAACAAAACGCATAAAAGACAAGACATAATGTGAAAACTATAGATTTATTGAAAATGTAAACTATACGCAGCCAAAGTTAAAGAGCACATATATGTATTACATCAGCATATTGTAGTTACTATTGCAAAACATTCACATCAGTTTATAATTAGAAATCTCCATACATTACACGTGAAAATGAATAATAACTTAATCTATTTTCTTTCTTCTTATATTGTCCATTTCTTCCATAGTTCCATCAATTTATCTTTGGAAGAAAAAAGAGTCCCCATACCTTTGGAAACAAAAGTCCAGGCCCGCTTTGGGAATTGATCATAAGAACTTCAATATTCTTCTCAGGCTTGCTGCTAACAACATTATCAGAGATTTTATATCTAAATGGTATGCACCTGCAAGGAGAAATAAAATAAAAATTTATCAAAAATCAAATGGAAAACAAAAAAAATGGTAAGCATATTTAATCATTTCTTCATCATCTAATTCCGCTATTCTGCGTATGTTTATGAATCCTCTTCTTATATTCATTTCTATTGAGCATTACAAGATTTGTTGAATTTATTTTGCATGTCTCTTAGCATTAATTCTAGCATGTTTGCTTTCTTTCTTCCCTATGTAGATCCTAATATTTTCAAATTAATTTTATGTACCTTTACAGGTGCATCTTGAGCCGTCTATCATTCATGCCCAAATCATCTAACCTATTTTTCATTATCTTAACTTAACAGGTATTCTTCTATCTTCATCATACTTTTTCCACTATTTGATAATTGAATATTGGAGATAAGACACAAGAGAATAGATGAGATGAATTAACCATGCACAATCAAGCTGGAACTATGAGGAATAAAAGATTTTTAATAACAATGAATGATTCACAGTTGTTTAGAAGGCTTTTAATGACTAGATTCATTTCACATGTTGAGAAATGAATGACATAAAGGAACTACCCCAAACAGCTTGATGAAGTCTAAAACTAATGATAATATGATATCCTAAACAATGTTATCAAGTGCAATTTGGGAGCTTGTCTAAAGTGTCAGGCGAAGCGAGGCAAAACTCCAACGTCTCAACGACGCCTAGGTGGGTGCTGTTACTAAAGCACTATCTAGACAAATTCCTAGGTAAAGTTCTAGGTACGAGGACACTCACTTATGTGGTGCAAAAATTTTATATTTTTTTTAAAGCATACACAATCATAAAAAGAGACAGAGGGCTATAAATTTGAGGATGTGAAATAGAGTATAAGTGATTATGAAAATGAAATAGATAATAATAAAAATTAATTAACCATACACTATAGAAGCTGCCAATTAAGTTTCAATTTGCTTTGTTTTAATTAGAAACATAACTTTTGGACATTATAGGCACTTTGTTTTATAAATAATATATATATGATAAGGTCTCATTGTTTTGACATTTGGAATTACATAAAAATATATTTTTTACCTACATATTTTTAGATTTTATTATGATGATTATCATATTATACTCTCCAACAATATTCTTCATAATTAAAATAGATATGAAATTATTTAGCACCATAATTTGCCTAGGCAAGTACCCATGTTGGCACCTAGCACCTTTAATAACATTAATCCTAGATTTCAAGAGTAGGGAAAAAGTTTAGAGTTTACCATGCGCATTGTCGTATATTGTCTCAAACATATTACACAGAATACTTGTATTTTCTTAAGTTAAGCATTAGGGAAAAAACTAATGTAAATAAAAAAAAAATGATAAAGTGATAGTTCATTGTAGCAAAAGGATTGGCAACACAAGACTCCATTGTCATTAGGCTTAAATGATGGTGAGGAGCTTATTCAATTACTTGGTTATCACTAGCATGCTCCTGTATCCAAATAAAATTTTAAGATTCCACGAAAATTCTCTGAATAGCTATTGGGCTACACTCCACCTCATTATATATCTTCTATTTTAGAATGCTTCGTTGGGTAAACAAAAATGTCCATTTTGCTAGATCGTCTTTAGGTCTCTCTAGCTCAAGTCCTTTGCTGATCCCCTCCACCTCTCACCATCTCTTCCCAATCTCCCCTCTCTTTCTCGGAAGTGCATGGAGACCTTGTAAAAGCTATACAAAGCGGCCTCGCCACCTTACATAATCCTTGTAAACATTTATTGACACATTGGAGAGATTATTTTATTATTGTTTTGTTTTCCCTACCCAAGGAATTCCTGAGAATGTCCATACACGCCTTTTTTTGGTGTAGTGGCCACAAAGGCAACTCGTCAAGATGCTCTAGTGCACTAACTATGCACTCCTTTTTTGACTTAATGAAAAAGCTTGACATATTTTTTTATAACCCATTCACAAGAGGTGACGCAAAAGCTTTGCTGAATTCCACTCGAAATGTACCTAAAAAATTTAATGAAAATATTTTTGAAAAAAAAAAAGAAGCAACAAATTAAAAAGAGCAGGTGAATAACATAAAAATAAGATAAAAATAAGCACTTAAAAGATGGCCACAAATGCTAAGAAAATATGAACATCGATGTATGGCCCAATTCTCCAAGTGTCAGGGGAGTTAATAAGGCCCATGTCACAACAACAGTTTATATGGAAATAGAACAAACGTTAGTACTCACCCCTAATCTAACTGAAAAAAGTTTGAACATTGCAGCTAAGTTTATGAGTCATGAGCCATGAACCATAAGGCACACTTAATAAGACATGGAACTCTATACAAGCCAACATAAAAATATAATCGGCCTTTTCAGTGAACTTTCATCCTAGGTTTAAAAGGCTCTTTTAGACAATGCAATTTAAGATTAATGATAAGGATCATTTAATCAATTTGACTAAACTAACTCTATTAAGCAAGCAAATCAAGGAACATATCAACCTAGGAAGATGAAATTATGGGACCTTGTCACCATGCCCTCACAAAAAGTTTGACAAAATGACATCATTACCCTATAAAGAAGATCAACATGATACAAAATTCATAATCACTTGAACTATATATAGCAATTGAAATATATACGAGTTTCTATTCTATAGAAAGATCTATAATACATACACTAAATTAGATTTATGATTTATAGGATTGGAGCCAGATCACTATGAATATTTCCACAAATACAAGGGCATGAAACAAAAAACTTTTCTTGCGAAATAGTTTATCCAGTACATGAATCCTCTTGCAACTATGATTTTCTATGGAGAAATTGATGTATGTTGTCATACTCTTGCATAACAAAGATATTGCTTCTATTATTGTGGGATCTAATCATTGCACAAAGGCACATCCTCAAACATACCAAGGAAGGAGGATGGTAATTAAGAAAACCTTTTACACGCATCAAAGCAACAAATTTAAAATGGAGTTTTGATTGATAAAATCTACCTAGAAAACCCTAGAACACACGATTTCGCAATAAGAATCAATTTCAAGCTATCAGTGCCTGAGAAAAAGGTGATGGGCATCGAATTTACTCAGACATGTAATTTTTGTAGGAAAGCGAGATGCACTAAGAGATGGAGGAAGACTAGCTAAATGAAATACAAGTAAATCACTTTTATTGTTCACAAGTAACTTCTAAGTAGATTTTGGTTAAAATTCTAAAGTTGAGAAGCACATGGTAAAGAAATTCTAATTTAGAAGGAGCTAACAAATACCACAAAAATTAAAGCGATGTACAGATTACAAAGATTGAGATTGTTAGGACCAGAATGAAAGTAGGACGATGTTCTTAACAGCTTAAAAGTGAAAAGTAGGTAACTTAGCTATGATTCAAAACACAAAAAATTCTAGCAATTTTAAGAAAAAAATTATATGCGATGATCACCCCTTGGATCTAGCTACACGATGCATAGCTTTATAAGATTTGATTATCAAAAATGGCAAAGCCGTCCAACTAGACAAGCAGAATCAAACTTAAGGTAAAATGAATCAGTTGGTGTCTTTTGTCATTAGGCTATTCTGCTTGTCTAGTTGGTTATCGGACCTATTTTCCTGGAAGCTAAATAGTTTCTCCAATATATATATACTAAAAAGCCTTATATCCGGACGCACCAATCTTCCTGCTTCAAGGATAAGACAAAAGACATCAACGTCCACAACTTCCAGGATTAACTTCGCCAAATTCTCTAGGATCAGCCTTCACAAAAATCTCCCAACTAATTTCAACAAATTCAATAATTCTATAGCAAAACCAAGAACAGAAAACATAAAAATAGCAGAACATCAATCAGTATAAACCACTAAACCCTTTTGTTGCTCTAATCCAACTCCTTTCTCACCAGCTCAGGTTTCTAACGCTATTTAGGAATCGATCATTAAAACCATGCTGGATTCATCAAATTATGAACAAGGTATATAACATTCACCACGCCATGTCTGAAAAAGAAAAGTAGAATAAAAGACTTAATGGCAACCAAAAAAAAACCTAACAAAAAATAACATACTGTACATCAAGATGAAAAAAAAAGCAAGCAATAGAAGCAAGTAAAATTGAAGGGGAAACAACAAAATTAACAGGAATCAAACCCATGAAGGATCGTAGCAGAAAGCAAGATTCCATACCCAATACATTGAATATGAATCTAATCAATCCAATGGTGCACAATAAAAAAAAATACAAAATGCCCTTATGACCTAAATACCTAATCAAGTAGCTATCTTTCCAGATGAATATGAAAAGAATGAAAGCGAAGGTGGAAGAATTGTATATGCGAGATGATGTAACAGACTGAAAGAGAGAGATTGACCCAGCAATAAGGCGACACCCGGCCTCGTAGCGCTGCTGATGTCGACCTGTGCGGGCCACCAAGTCACTCATGTTCTTCCTCCTTTTCTTCACCCCCTTCCCACCTTCCTTCTTCTCCTCGATCTCAGCTTTCCTGGACAAAGAACGCAGTCGCTATCCCACACCTAAACCCGCTGATTTAAACCCCATCGACTTGATCTGTAGGACCAATACGTCGGAGGCGTTGAAGGCGACATCAAATGGAAGAAAGCTATATAATTGGAAAAAAATACAAACTTTGGAGCTGGAAGGAAGACGAAAGAGACGGGGGCGAGGGCAAGACTGCGGAGATCTAGAAACTATTAATGATTTGGTTTATATTACGACAGATCATGGGTTAATCTTAATATAAAATTTGGGAAAAGACGACGAGAATTCGACAACGAACTAACGAACGCGGTGGTTTTTAATGATGCGAATTCCGTATTTTACTATTTTCTGACATTTATTTATTTATTTATTTATTTTGAAACAGGATATCTACCAACTACTATTCTAAAAAAGGTATATGTCAGCATAACTAATTTCTCGGTGGGCCCACCTACAACCAACCCCAATGGTACATGGTCACACAGTTATTTTCTCTCCATTTATGGAGTCGCGCAGCATAAGAGATAAATCGAACCTGGGCTGGAAGTTTCCAATCACGCTCACCCACCAACTTAGATAAGCCCGGTGGGATTCTGACAATTATTCAACAATTAATTTTGATGAAAAAATTTGATATCACGACTCAATTCTTTTTTAGAAATGAATCTTTATTATGTTTGATGACATGTTCAACATGTAAGAATCATTTGTGACATTCAAATTAAGTATTTTTTTTATCATATTTTAAGATGAGAGTTTTTGTTAGCTTCATAAAATAAGGTCATGCTAATTTATGAGCTATACTCCATCAAGATAGCATATCATTAGCAGAGAAACCCTTAGCACATTAATGTTGATCGTGTGTGCTCATGCGTGCGTATATATGTAACTTGTATGTACCTAATATGTTCTCATCAAGGAATTGGTTAGGAGGACCGCATGGTTAAAGTGGCACTCATTCGAAGGGTGCATGACTCCACAGAGTAATAACTGACACCAATCATGATTGAATGCTACTCTCCATAGTAGAGATCACAACATGCAGACTCATCCTGAGTGAATAGATTAAATATGCATTCATTCTAGGCAAGTTTCTCTAAAAGAGTCACCCAAATTTGTCCGCGCCCTAAGGATTACTCGCCTTAACCTAATGAACTCACTAGCAACAAATGTTTATGACCAAGTCCATTCGCCTATCATGTGTATCTCCTATCAAGCTACAAGAAACACACTTTTTATCACGTTCCAATATCTAATATGGAAGAATTTCATTGTTATTCTCTTTATTATATTTTTCTTATCTTTAACAATAAAATCATTGATAATTATAGTTGATTAATTGCATTCAGGAAAAAATAAATATAAATAAAGGAACATAAAATTATATTACTACAATTAATATTTATATTTTACTATAAGGTCCAAAGTTCTAAAATAATATATATAATAGCCACTACATGCTACAAAAGAATACATAAAGCCCAAGAATTTAATATAAACCAAAACTATCATTATTGTTAAGCCTCGATTAACAGGTTTTTTACATTTACCTAAAATCACGTAATGAGCACAAAAGCTCAACAAGTAACCAAAACTTATCATTGCATTCAATAAACAATAAAAGAATCGATATGTGTGCTCGAATTCGATTTATATCAATTAACAATCAATAGTCTATCAGTATAATCAATAAGAAATTTATAAAATTCATATCAATCAATGGTAAAATAGATATGATCACGAAAGTAAGAAGAGAGCTATCAAACTATAATAGAATTGATAAAAAGGACGATCAATAAATATGTATGCTATGTTATATTACATCAGTATTAATGCAAGTTCAATCAGCTCTATATCAGTTGCGTCTATCAATTAATTCATATGTTATCATATAATTACAATCATAAATGTAATTATAAAGAGCAAGATAACACATTCAGCTTTAATGTGGAATTTTTATCCTTCCACCCAAATCATCGTCCAATTGGTCATTAGTCTTAAATTTAACCATAATGACCGACCAATTAGTTATACGTCTTTATCTTACCATAATTGTTCATTATCTTAAATTAATTCACAAGTGGTTTTCAAAAATCAGCATTATTTAGTGAACCTATTACAAGCTACTACAATTAGGATTATACCACAAATCTTTTATTTAAAGAAAAGCCCACCGATCCACCCTCTTGCACAAGATATTAAGTTTTAAGAGCTAACTCATATTAATTATAATGTTAACAAATAGCCTTCCTTATGTCAAAATCTAACCCGACAAGGCACACTGATGGGATGTATCTAATTGTGTTAAGCTATAACATGTTAATCCCAAAATCTGGTTTAAGTATTTTTTTTTTTTAGATTTCAAATTTCAATTTAAACTTTTAAAATAACAACAAACTCTGTTGCAAATCTGGACCCTGGTCCTATGATTTTGATGATAATAAATATTTTTAGGTTGTCTTCCATATTTTCTCTTATTATTATTATTAGATTTTTATTTTCGTGTACTAACATTTCAGGTCTATTGTACACCATGCAAAGTGATCAACTCAAGATTAGACAAAATAGGTTTATATTTTCTCAAGAGTCTTTATTTTTTATTTAGTTTTTTTATTTATATTTCTTGAGTCAAAGTCTTATTTAAGATGAATGCTAAATTTGGTGACTGTGCACACACTCACAGGGGAGTGAGAAATCAAGTTTTTAGAAAATTTTGAACTAATCGTACAATCAATTGATTTTAACCTGATTTAAATCAATATTTTTAATTAATTAATTTAAACTAACCATATTGGACCATCTAAATCGTATTGTACGATCAGTTTAATACAGAAATCTTAGTCGCCAAATAGTTTAAGTAAGTTTTTTAATTTTTTTTTAATTGATGGTATTGTATGATCCATATTCATATAGTATTATTTGAAAACTTACTTATTCAACAACATACCATTTAATTTCTAGAAAATTTGCATATCTACTTTCTTCCGTCTATTGATTTTTATATGTGGTTGATGATAAAAGAAGGGTATGATACACTGTTTAGATTAATTAATGGCATCAAAACTGAAATATCTTTTACTAGATTGAATAATAAGGATAAAGAATATGCACAACTGAATATTAAATATTTAAATTACTTTTTTTGTGCTCTTAAATATGAATACTATACGAGAGTATCCACATTGACTACTGGAAAAGAAATATGGGATAGTCTTTGCGTCACATATGACAATACTAGTAAGGTGAAATAATTTAGATTGAATATTTTATTGCATATTTATGAACTTTTTTGACATGGAACCTAATTAGACAACCTCAAATATGTGCACTAGGTTCACTGAGATAGTAAACATCCTTGTATGCTTTAGGTAGAGCACTTTCAAAGTCTAAAAAGGTTAAAAAAAAATTCATCATTGCCTATATAGTAATTATGATACTAAGGTTACTACTATTTGTGAATCAAAATATCTTAATGTTTATTTTATAGATAACTTGCTAGGCGCACTTATTGCCTACAAGATAGGTGTAAGTTATAGATTACATGATGCACGAGACATGAGAAAGGATAAAGTGGTGGCACTGAAAACTAATGAATCAGAAAGTGAAAGCTTTGTATATGAGGAAGATGATGACATAGAACTTATGACACATCAACTCAAAAACTTTCTAAAAAAGAAAACAAAGGCATCATCAGTAATGGAACAAAAGTAAACCAAATAGAAATTTCAAAGCATAATTTGATAATATTTGCTTTGAATGCAGGAAATTAGACCACTTAAGAAAAAATTGTCCAAATCTAAAAGCTCACCCAATCAAGGATAAGAGAGAGAAGAAGAATAAAGTTAAAAAAGGGGAAGTAAAGAATATAAAAGATTTTGTTGGACAAACTCCACTTCGGACTCATCAAAACCAAAAGTGGAGGAGGAGATAATCAATTTGTGCCTAATGGAAGATAATAGTCTTGATCACTCTGATCAAGAAGATGTATGTGAGCTTTCATATGATGAATTATTTAAAATTTCTAAAAAAATTCATGATGCATATAGAAAGCTTAAGAAAATATATACTAGTTTAAATTCTAAATTTTTAAATTTATAAAAAGAGCATGATAGCCTTAGAGTGAAACACAATGCATTAGATAAAAAATCAATGTCTTTACTTGATGAATTAGATACATTAAATAAGAAGCATCTTGAGTTAATCCAAGCACATAAGCCCTTAAAATACAAGCATCGTGAGTTAGAAAAAATATATAAATAGTTAAAAGCACTTGTATATGAACTAGATTAAAATGAGCATGCATTAAAACATGAAGTTAAAAGCTTTGAAAGTACCAATGAGTTCTTGAGAATAAAGATTCTTACACTTAAAAACAATAGACCACCACCTAACTTGTAACATTTCATACCCTAAGAAGAGGCATAATAGCCCACATATATTGGTAAATCCATTCCTAGGTGTTAGGTGCTATTCTTGTGGCATGTTATGTCATATAGCCTACACATATATGCATAGTACATTATAGATATATCTAATATGGAGGCCAAAATCATTTGCATCACAACATAACATGCTTGTAAATCATACATTTAAGCATAAGGTTAAACCCAAATACACTTGGATTCCTAAATCTAATCTTTGATTAACATTATAGATGTGCGCTCACAAAAGATCTAGTAAGAGTATGTGGTATATGAATAACAAATGTACACGACATATGACTAGAGATATGAAATAATTAATCTCGTTGAAGGCCATGGTAGGAGGCAAAGTTACATTGGGAGAGAATACTACCCAAAAAGTGGTAGGTTCAAGTATGGTTGACAATTCCAAAAATTTTATCTTTGAGAGTATTTTACTCATATATAAGCTAAAATATAACTTACTTAGCATTAGCTAATTGTGTGACAAAATATTTGATATTACGTATTTATCTATTAGATGCTTGATTAGCTTGAATGACAAACTTATTTTAGAGGGTATGGACCTCTGAAAGAGATCCTCTCAGTGGGGGACAGAGTGCAAAGGATATACGACCGCATTATCCTGAAGGACAAGACGATCGCAAGCCTCTGTGCTCTTCACAAGTGGATCAATTGAAGGGCAGATTAGATCACACATACGATTAACCATTGAGGATAGTGACTGATAGCGGCTCTCGCCTATGCATCCCGATAGATAATAATATGCATGACTTGATCAAAATAACTGGTTTCCCCTACCCGATATATCAGCTCGAGTGTGATTT